TATATATATACTTATAATAATAATATTAACTAATTATAATAACATATATTAACAATAATAACTATTATTAATAAAAAAAGACCTAATCTCTACCTCACTAATGGTGGCTTGTAGAGATCGGGAAGGGGGCAAGCGGCTGAGGCAATGAGGTCGGGCAATGAGCGATTACAAGGGAGATCTCTCTCTCTCTCTGGATTGGGGAAGGCGCAAAGGGTCTTCGGCTACAGGGAGTTCTCTAAATCGATTGAGGCAAATCGGTAAGAGCAATGGGGTGGTCGGCTTGGAGTTGAGAGGAAGAGTCATATGGGAGCAGAGAAGTCCGGCCTAGGGGAATCGAAGGCAGGGTCGGTTGCCTAGAGTCCATGGAGATCTCGGTTATAGGGATTGAGTCGAGGAAGCAGGAGATGAGATCGGATGGGAGAGTTCGATGGGATGGAGGCTTTGATTTTGAGCGTGGAAGGAGTCGGAAGGGAGCGACGGGGAGAGATGAAGAAAGGGTATTCGTGGGTCTCAAGCGTGTGATAACCCGAATGAGAGATTCACTCTCATTTTTAATAATGTGAATGGAGGCTCTATCGAGGCGAAGCATGCATGATACGACGTTTCTGGCGCCATTTGCAGAGTGCGGAATGGATTTTGGTAGAGATATGGGTATGAGCCGCTGTAGACACCACTACAGGTGATAATTTGAGCATTTTTTTAATATTCTTGATTTCTTTTGGGTGCACAATGAAGGTCAACATGCCTTAAGCCCAAATCTTTTTGCTTAAGTCATGGATGTTCTCACTAGACATTTGCAAGAGGTTGTATACTGGTGTATGCTTTTTACTGATGATATTCTTCTTGTTGATAAGACTAGAGGGAAAATTTTTAAAAGGAGCAAAGTTTATAATTCTATTAGGAGTAGGAGCATGAAATTAATAAATTTTAAAAAGGAGCAGAAATGCCATCTTACTTTGCGTTTTCTTCCGAAAACGCAAAGCAGGCCTGCGTTTTGCATGAAAATGCAAAGAAGCTTCCCGTTTTCTTCCCAAACCCGTGAAATTTAGCGAAATGCATGCAAGGGTGGCAGCGTTGGTTCAAGTAGTGGAGAAAATTTGATTAATAATACATAATTAATAGGCCATTGGCAGGCGGAATGTTGCCTCAAATTCAATAAATTTTTTATGGTTTTTTGCTCTTGGAATAAATAGTTAGTTGCTACGGTTCCCAGATTGCCTCAAAGTCAATAATTTTAAAAGCTTGAGTTAATATTTTGTTTTGTTATTTATAAACATGTTAATAATATTATTAAATATAATTAAAGTTTTGTTAATTGAGAGATTAGAATAAAAAAGGCAAAATATTTTTTTAAGAATAGTTAAAAAAAATTTTAAAAAAAATAATTTAAAATAAGTTGTATATAATCTAGAATTTACTTTAAAAGATATGATTGAATTTAAAATTATTTGTATTTGTATATATATTATTATTAAGAAAATATGAACGCATAATTTTGTTATTCATCTTTTTTATAGAAAGATTGGAATGAGAGTAATGCGAAAAGTAATTAACACAAATTAATGAAAATACATGATGAGGTCAATAAGAAAATAAAATACATATGATGAGTTCAGTTACTGATTAATGTTGTTAAGTAGATATCGTAGACGATTCTGGAGCTGTGTTTGTGTAGGACAACATTTGAAGTTGATCTGAAATTGAAGTTGTAATTGCTGCCAATCTTCTCCGTTAAGAAAATCCTTCGGTTTTTAATTTTTAGAATTTTGTAACAACTGTTGATACGAATCTAATATGTGCTTATCATGATACTGATCCCATTTAGAGTATAAAATAAAGTTATCTATATCCATCATGGACCTTCCCATACCTTGTGCAACTGTATTGTCTTTATCACAACTAAGTTCTAGAATTCGACCTTTTAAGAAATCTTTTGCCACAAGGTGGTGCTTAAAAAGGGGGAAGCCTTCTTGTACATAATTCCAGCCTAACTCTCGACGTGCAGGGTTACCTTTAAATTCCTTAGCTGTCTTCAGCTCGTATATACAGTGAGTAGTAAATA